TCACTCTGCCTTCAGCCTGTTGCTTTTACTGTCCCTCGCAACTACGCAACTACGTAGATTCATAGCTTATAACAAAGACGTGAAGTAACAGTAACAAAATAGCAGAGAGAACTATTTAGACAACGTCTCTTCAGGAGACCAAACCCCAGAGTTTAGCGTAATGTGCTGTCTCAGTGTAACTAAGCTCCCCGCCAACCCTACAGCGCTCACGGCAAAATCGCTGAGTGTCAGCAAATATTAAATGACCACCTGGCTGTGAGCAGCTTTTTTAAAAAACACTTTCGCATCAGAAGTGTGCTTTTCATTTTGCTTGCGTTTATGAGTGGAGAAATAATTCCTATTACTTAAAGCTATGGGCTTCTGATCACTGCCAAGCAAGATGCACCGGAAGGCAACCCAGACCGCTTCTCCATGTGTAAGCACGAGCGTTGTGAGTCCGTCTGCATGCTCCCTCAACGCTCAGGAAGGAAGCCATCTGTGTCCGTTCCATCAAAGATGACAGGGGTGACCTGAGGGATCAGATTTCTCAAGTATCTCCCCAACTCTGAGTCGCCGGACTGTGGCTTTCTGAGCCTGTGCCTTCCATCCGCCACCTTCGTCTCCATGTGGACCGTCCAGAAAGGGTGGGGGCTGGACTCCCGTCTGATTTTCTGCGTTCTGTTCTGCGAAACACCTAGAACGTATTCAGCAGTGACATGCTCTCCCTTTCTCTTTGTGTGTGTGTGTTTATTTGGGGGAGGGGGACAGGCCAAGACCGAGGGAGAAAAGGGACCATGTAAACACAAAGACGACAGAACCCCACGTCCCGTGACATCAGCCAAGGGCCTGGTTCCTAACCACCTGCACCCAGCGCCCCGACCTGCAGGCCGTGCGCAAACCCCGGGCGGGGGAACATGCGGTCACGTGGCTCCCGGAGATGCAGTGTCCCCGTCTCTCCCCCGGCCCCCCACAACCTCTTACCTTCCCGCAGAGAGGCGGGAGAAAGCCACCGTGCCACATATCTGTGTGACAGGAGATTCACGTCCCGTGTAAGATGAATTTACGTGTCTGGTCTCCTAGCGAGACAGGGGGCAAAGCGCCCCAGCACACTGGCGGAGGGCGGGTGGGGGGGGCAGTGAAATTCCAAAGCGAGGCCCGGGAAACGTAAACAACAGCAAACGCGATGCTCAGGAAGATGAGGCTGTGTCGTGCGTTTACGAAGCAGGGACTTCCGGCTATGCAAAGCTGGCGTGTCTGCTCCCCGTCCGCCCCTCAGCTCGGAGCGTGAAGGGGGGACGTCTCGTCCCACCCCAGCATCGGAAACTAAAGGAGCGCGCCACATTCCGATGCGGGCGGCTCGTGACCACCAAAACCGCTTCTGCCCTCCCCGGGCTGCTGCCCCCTGCCACATCGCCCTCGGCCTCCGAGAAAGTCAAGGTGAACCTTATGGGGTGCCTGTGTTCCCCTCTGCTCGAGTCACATCCCACGGACATTTTGAAAGAGATGCTCCTATTACCTACGCTCATCTTTAAAAAGCAACTCACAAATGAGCGTGTGCAAACTCGGCTGACCTCCCAGGGAGGCCGGGGACGAGCACGCGGGATTGTGCCAGGAATTCCTGATGTTGTCCTAAGGTTACACGAGACGCCACCATTGGAGGAAGCTCAGTGATGGCCCCCAGGATCTCTCAGCACTATCTGTGCAACTTCTTGTGAGCCTACGATTAACCAAAATAAATCATTTAAAATAAATATTTTTTTCCCACTAAATAATTTTTAAAAACCTAACAGTCTGCGTTACTAGGGCAACCTCCTGGTGGTTTGGAGGACTAACCAGGGCAAACCCAAGGGACATAAATGAACCCCATAAAGGCCTTCCTAGTCCATAAAAACTAACTGCAACAAGCACAGCCAGTGTTCTTGTAACTAACAAGGAAGAAAGAAAAGGTCTTCCGTTGCATTAAAATTTAATATTCTGCAAATACTAGAAATAAACAGTCCGAAATGAAATTTAGAAAACATGATCCAAAAGAATGCACCCAACGTTCTAAAATGTGAACCACAAAGCGCTGCCGTCGTCACAAGCCAACCTCTACCCAGCCTCGAGTGCCCGTCATCCTAAAATGCAGCCCGGCTGAGTGATCGATAAGGGCCTGTAAGGAAGAAGCTGGTCTGTCAGCATCGAAGGCTGAGAGGTGACACCGGGACCACCTCCGGGTGCTGCTCCTGGGACGAGTCCTTCATGTGCACGTTTCAGAGGTTTAAGCACAGACGTTCCAGCTGTCACTCACCTATTCTGTCAACCAAATACGTATTAATCGAAAGAGAAAAAAGCAGCTGCCGACGGCCGGAACGCACAGCGAGGCTGTGGAACGTGGGTAGCGTCAGAGACCAGCACCATCAGGCAACGATGGCAACCCCTTAAACGCACACGGCACACAGCACACGGCCCATGGCTTTGAAGTCCTTCCCAACTCCCACCTGCTGAGAGGTCCCACGGTGCCCTCGCTGGCACAAGTCAGCAAACACAACCTTGACCCACTACGTCGTGGCCGCTGGCTCAGGGACACCGACTTATCAACGCAGAGGACAGGCGAATGTCTTTTAAAGAATGGGTCTCGGGATTGACCTCCCCTGAAACACAGAAGTACTTACGGAATTCATCTGTATGACTCCAAGTCAGACGAAACTTTCCTGTCAATTTTCAAAAACAGATTCCACCGCCCTTGGAAGCCAGCCATGCTTCAGGATATTTTTAATTAAACAAAACTGTGTTCATTTGCAGACCGAGCTGAGAAGCTGTTTTCAGGCACTGGTGGTTACGTGTTTCCCCCGAATGGCATCGAAAGGTCTCGCTTCAGAAGCTGTCGTCACACAGTGTCGTGTGCCCGAAAACCACGTCTTTAGGAATGGACATTTAAACCCAGGACTTCCAAGTTCGGCACCCACAAAACTGAAGGAAAAGGAAGTGCCCAGACAAAGCTCACTCTGATGGATTAAAACAACCTTACACACACATACACACACAGAAACAACCTTACACACACATATACACGCGCGCGCGTGAGCCACGCCGACGCATAAAGCCAACAGCTTCTTTAAGATGCTGGCTCACTTTCCACCACGATTTGGGGGAGGGGCCATCCTCGTAAACCCCACGGGGCGAGGATGCCCCGTGAGCCCCGAGAAGGCGCCGTCAGCCCCAACGCCGCCACTGTGTCCCGCGTGGGCGAGATCACGTCTCAGAGGTGGCCGAGACACAGGGAGCTGTCTGGACAGACCGAGAAGACACAGGCCGTCAGCCCCGTGCCTGACAGCGGCCTCACACCTCGAGGAGATTCTGCCGGGTGAACCCTCAGCCACCCGCCGCAGCCCGCGACGCCCCATCGGAACGGCAAGGTGCGTCGCTTTAACCCATATGGGGGCCCTGTCTTTTTTTAATATAGAAAACTGAAGTCGCAAGTTGCGTCCTCGGCTGTGGAGGTGCTAAGCTCCCGTCTCCTTTCAAGAAAGAAAGTTTGCCGGGCCTCACTCGCCCGGCCACGAATGAGGAGGGCGGGCGGCCGTCCCTGCCACCACCCACACTGTCCCTGGTGCAGACCACCCCGCCCCCCGCCCCAGGTGGCTGGCGGAAGCTCAGCCACACCCGCAGAGGCCCCCGGCTGTCCCGGCTCGGCCCACCCGCACCCCTCATGCCCCACGGGCCTCCTCGCCATTAAAACACTGGTGCCTCCAACTGTGTCTCCTCGGGGCCCGAGGACACCCCACGGCAGCCGCTTCCGGGCTGTTAAAAATCCCTCTCCAAATGCAAACGCACTCACGTGTGCGTGCTCGCCTGGGGCACGGGGACACTCACTATGCGCACACACCCCGCTGACTGCCAGCGCTGCAGGATTCTGTACGTGTGAATTTTCTTTTTGGCTAAAATCTGCCTGTAACCCCCGATCCCTGTAGATGGTGACAAGGTCGATTTAACGTCCACGCACGTTTCCCGACGGGCTGAGCCAGCTGACGTCCTGCCTTCTCGTTCCGGGCCCCCAGCTGTCCACACTCGCTCCGTGTCACGGTCGGCACAGAGCCACAGCTGCCACACGTCTGTGCTTCTGGTGGGTGCCGCTTCTGTGTGCAGCGGCCACCGAGCACGGGGCTGAAATGCTGCCTGGGGTCCCTCCGGGCGACGGAGGCGTGAGGCGCCTCACGGGGGGAGATGCGCGGGACGTGAGCACGGGGCAGGCGGGAGTCACGTGTCGTTGGCCGCGGCCTCACTGTGGACGCATCGACAACACACACGCGACAGAGTGACTGTGAGCAGAGGTGCCCAGAAAACAAGACTATGTCTTCACCGGCTGCAAAAGTACCATGGCTCGGAGGAGCCCGACGCCATCATTCCCCTGGGGCGAAGCTTCGCGAAGCCTCAGCCACCTCACAGTATGTCACTACTGTGAATAACGGAGATCTGGGCTGGATGCGTCAATGACATAAAGACGGAGCCACCACCCGTCACCTGCACTCGACCTAGAAAAGGCCGCAGAGCATCTTACCACATTTTCCTACAGAACGTCCCCTGCACAGCACGAGGCATCACTGTCGCCTCTCCCTGGTCCCCATTCCCTCCGCTGCCTCGTCCCTGAAGTCAGACCGGGCTGACCCCGTCCCGCGAAGCGCTCTCCGCCCTCCGCCCTGCTCAACACGGGGAGCCGGTTCAAGTAAATGGACAAGGGCGGGCAGGACGGGTACAGCCGCAGCCCAGGAGGACGAAGGGGACATTCAGGAGCAGCTCCGGAATGCGTCTCCATTTTTCAAGGGACAAATAGAGGGACAGAAATGCACCATTTGGGGCACGAATCGACGGCCGGTTAGGAAGCG